GGATATTCGGGAGAATTATCAATCACGTCTCCTTACGTACAGCCCATTCATCATTATAGGATCACCGAAATCATCTTAGCAACAAACAAATCGATTTATTCACTTTCAAAGCTAAACGACGAATGTACACTTTTCACGGGTTTCTCTGCTCTGTTACTTACGACAAACGACATCTCCTTAGAAATCGGGTGACTTAAGTAACATCGAAAAATATTTTGATCGGAAGGTGATTACGTAAAAAAGCAATTTTACTGGTAAATAAATTTAAAAATGAGATGTGATCCTATATTCTGACAGTATAAAGTGTAATAGCAGGAGCATCGAAAGACACTGATAGCTCGGTTTTGTTTACCTTTGTTACTTTCGACGTAATGAAAATTTGCGACGTAATGAAACTATATGTAAAATTTATACAGAGAGTGATTACGACAGTCTCGATATTTGGCAACGTGTTGTTGATGGATTACCAAGGGAAACCCGTAAAAAAATCCAATAAATATACAATGATTTTCATTGTCATTGTAACCTCGATATTTATTGTGGACATTTAAAAAAAATCCAATAAATATACAATGATTTTCATTGTCATTGTAACCTCGATATTTATTGTGGACATTTTTGTTCATCACCAAAAAATCACAACGCAATTTATGGTTCACAACAATGAACATCATGGTATTTGAGAAATTTACAGTAAAAAAAGGGGGGTTGTTAAGCATCTTAACAATATAAAAGTTATTTTTCTCGAACAATTTGATATCATACTAATTTTTATTCTTTGAACATTACATAGTTTAAAATCTAAATTTATTTTTTACAATAAATACTTAATACACACAATACGTATAATAATTTAACAATAAATTTTAATGTACGAAATTCAACGGTAAAAATCATTGTGATTTCGTTGTTTTATCATAATTATTTTTTTTATGCAATCGGTAACGTTGTGTAAATTACACCACTGCAAATAGTGACGCCACTATTTGCATGTACGTTGCGTTTTTTTTTTTTTTTTTTTTTTTACTAATCCAACATTCTGCTCCACCTCTCGCTATACCACATTGAAGACGGAGGACTTTTGACGGGGTGAAAGCAACCGGTGGAAACTAACAATTTCAAATTGGCTCACTACTTGACTAGCCTATTGGTTCCAAGAAAATCGATTAACGTAGCCCATTCTAGTCAAAATTCTAGTACTACACTATGTTTTTTTTGATTCGCTATGAAAATTTGACACATAAAATGAGGGGTTCGTGGATTTTTCTATGCTTCGAGGGGTGCATCGATTAGCTTGAGACCGAAAAGAGTACCAGAGCTGAGCCAAAAAGTTTAGCACTTTTCTTCGGGACCTTTCGGTCTTAGAGTTACCTCTATGGTAAAAGCGTCTCCATTTTATTGCGTAATGTGTGATTAAAATCAGTGAGCGCTCAACTTCCGAGCTGAACATACGCGCTTTTGTTAACGTTCTGTGGAAGTCAAACATAAGCTAGTTACTACCAGTGCCAACTGTGTTTTTTTATTTTTTTTTTCTCTCTCTGCTCATCGCTGAGCCGTTCCGTGTCGCTCCGCGTCCAAACGACTTCGCGATGGGCCGAAGAAACCGGATAACGCCAAAGTGCACAAGTTCTGTGCGACCATATTAGGTATGAAGCAAGGTGAAGTGCTACGGATCCACAACAGTAGAGCCCTGGGTGTTTCATTCGTAAAAGTTGTCGACCTAGATTACAGTCGACGGGAAAAAGTATCCGTTGAGAATCACACTGGAGGAGGGAGCAGTGGAGGTGAGGCTGTACGATTTGTCCGAGGACGTGTCGGACCTAAAAATCGCCAATTTCCTAGGAAGATACGGTGACGTCATCGCAGTACGAGAGCAGTGAAATGGAACCGAAGTTGATTTTCCTGGCATCTCAACCGGTGTTCGTATGGCGAAAATGGTCGTTGAAAGGAACATTGAGTCATGGATTACGATAGACGGGGAGATGACACAAGTGTCGTATTTCGGGCAACGTCAAACTTGCCGACACTGCCGCGAATACATCCACGTAAGAGCTACCTGTGTGCAGAATAAAAAACTGCTCGTGCAGAAGACGTATGCCGATGCCGCAAAGCAGATGAGTCCATCACCTAAGTCTTCACAAACAACGAAGCAAACCGCATCCACTGCGAACCCAACGTACACAATATTAAACTTCGTCACTCCTGGTGCCAACCAAAACAAAACAAACTTGGCAAGTATGCAGCCGCCGAAACAAATTCCCCAACGAAAACAACAGAGGTTGTTACCACCACCGGTCGTCACTAGAAATACTCAGAGGGAGAGATAGGCGGAGAGAATGTTTTGAGCCAAATGAACTGTCAAAATCTGAGCCAATCGAACATTCCAATTAGATTTTTCCGATGATTTATTATTCTTACAGAATAAATTTGAGAGTATTGCAATCGAACAGAAATTCAATCACCTTTATGTTTTGTGTGCTTCTCAAATTCAACTAGTTTTTGGAACCAAAAACAATATTCTAACTCTATTGATTAATTGATCTTCGTTGGTTAATGAACTGCTGCCGAATTGTATTTTGTTTTCTCCGCCTATCTCTTCCTCTGAGTATTTCTATTCGTCACTGATGAAAACTTTCCTACGTTAGCCTCTACCTCAGCTTCGCTTCACCCATCGGATAGCAGGCAGTTGATCCCCTCTACAGGTCAACAGCCCCATGCTAGTGGTGGAGTGGATCGCAAAACTGCTGGTGGTAGGTCCGATGGAAACGAGACAGATTTATCTGTCGGCTCATCCAACTCCAAAAGGCATCTCCGCACTCGTCCACCAGGCAAGAAGCCTCGAGTGGAGAACGACGACGATATGTGAGATGGGAGTAACCGACCGTCCTAATGGCTGAGTTCTTCAGTTATAACCTCGCATCTATCAACATCAACAACATCACGACCGCAACGAAAATCGACGCACTTCGGTCTTTCGTACGAACGCTGTAGCTGGACATCGTTTTCCTTCAGGAGGTGGAGAATGAGCAGCTCTCTCCCTGGCTTCAACGTCGTCTGTAATGTGAATCGAGCGAGGCGGGGAACGGCAATCGCGCTAAAAGGCCACATACAATTCTCGCATGTCGAGAAAAGCCTGGATGGCCGCCTTATTGCTTTGAGGGTGCAAAATACGACTCTCACGTCTACGCACCATCTTTCATCGCACCAGCTTTTCGTGCGGAAAGAGAGAGGTTTTTCAACGGCACGATCGCACGGCACGAGAGGTGACGATGGGACAGCGAGAGCATACCGTCCGATTAGCCTGCTCAACGTCGATCATAAAATTCTTAGCCGTGTGATGAACGATTTTAAATTGGCTCACTACTTGACTAGTCTATTGGTCCCAAGCAAATCGACTAACGTACTCCATTATAGTATAAATTCCAGTACTTCACTATGTTTGTTTTGATTCGCTATGAAAGTTTGACAGATAAAATGAGGGGTTAGTGGATTTTCCTATGTTTCGAGGGGTGAATCGATTAGCTTGGGACTGAAGATAGTATCAGAGCTGAGCCAAAACGTTAAGCTCGTTTCTTCGGGACCTTCTGGTCTTAGAGTTACCTCTATGGTATTATCAAGCCTACGATCCATTCCCAATCCGGTCGAAGTAAACTTTCGGGTTGGAAAGTTTCTCAAATTCACTGGACATAGAGTTTCATTGTGCTTGCCATACAATATAAAAATGCAGGCAATGATCGGCATAGAAAGCTCTCCATTAGTAACTGTGGAAGTGCTTCAAGAGCATTAATTTGAGATCCAGAAAAACGAATGTATGTATGTACACGGCGAATAAGAACGACCCAAATTTGAGTTTAGCTTACTCATAAATCACATGAAGAAGCTCATCGATGAATAAATTTGCCTCATGTTTTTCCAGGTCATTCCAAGTTTTTCCAGCAAAAAAAACCCGGATATGAGTAAGTAACGATTGGATTCACCCAGTCTATCTAGTAGTACACTCCTAGACAGAGTAAAAGTTTCTCAATTTTCCTCATTTTCCGGCCGATTTTTGAGCTTTTCTACCGGAAAGCATGAGGCAAATTTACTCATCGCTGAGTTCCTGTACTTTTGGCGTTTATGAATAAAATGATCTCAAAATTTGGGTCGTTCTCATTCGCCGTGTAGGCCCGAAAAGGGGTATCAAAGCCTTTCTCAATTCATCTCACTTATTTGATTTCTTTTTGGATTACAACTTTATGCGATCAGTAAACTTTTTCATTTAAATTGTGATTTATCGGTGAAAATGATTTACAACAGAATTGAGGTACTATGCCCAATTTAAATCCTCTAATCCTACAGTTCGTCATTCCACAAAATATGTACGTTCCCGAAGTTAGGTGTTGTTTCTTGCCCGAAGCTGAGGTTAAACATCTCAGAAATTCGTTATGATTCGGTTGAAGTTAATCTTTTCAGAACATTACCTTCGTATCGATGATTTCAATACTGAAAGTATGCATTATTCAATATTAATACCAAATAAGGACATCCAAAAATGAAGGATCAGCTTTCCAGCATATGCTTATTAAATAAAAAAAAAAACACACAATGATACATTATGCAATACGGCAATGATGAAAAGCTCCTCCTATAGATATGGAGTATATTTCTTCGATCACATAGTTCAGCTGCAATTTTTGGCAATAATTTACTCCTAATAATGCATGGCCTCTGACCGATAATTCATAACAGCAAAAAATATAAATCAGGAATATATAATTGGATCTTGTTGGACTTTTAATTAATGGAAAAGTGCATCAATCAACAGTGTCGTGAAAAAAACGTGTGGTACATGAATTTTTATGAATAATCTTTGAACTTCCTAATTTTTTTTATTATTAACGATCATGCTGCTACATAGGGAAACAAAACAGTACTATTTACATCTACTTGCTTAGAAAACAGTAAAACAAAACAAGCACGGTACATTGTTAATAATAGTTAATTTATCGAATATTTTCCAGTCCAATGAGTCGCCAACCAAAAACGATACCCGAAATCGACCCGAGTGGTCCAACAAGCTCGAATTTCTTATGTCATGTATTTCGATGTCCGTTGGCCTAGGAAACGTGTGGCGGTTCCCGTTTACCGCGTACGAAAATGGGGGTGGAGCGTTTTTAATTCCCTACCTCATCGTGTTATTTGTCATTGGTACGAAAATTATGCGAAAATAATACAAATACTCAATTAATGCATTTCTTCTCACTCCACACCACGCAGGTCGCCCTTTGTACTACATGGAAATGACTCTGGGACAATTTACAAGCAGAAGTTCGGTGAAAATTTGGGAGATTTCACCGCTCTTCAAAGGTTTCAACAACAAATTCTCGTTCGAGGATTGTTGATCGTCTTAATGATTTTTCTAATATTTATTTTCAGGAATTGGCATTGGACAGCTTGTTGGCACTGCTTCTGTGGTTAGCTACTATGTGTCATTAATTGCAATTACCTTGTATTATATTTTTACATCATTTGCATCGGAGTTACCATGGGCCAAATGTGAAGAATCCTGGGGAAACACCTGTGTAGACTCGGCCACAATCGCCAACGGAATGAAGGATAAGAACATTTCAATAGGACAGAGTGTGAGCAGTTCACAGATATATTTCTTGTAAGTAAGGGTCTGATGGAGGGCATCCTGGAGCCATGGAAAGAATGCATTCATTATTCATCATTTCCATGAATTGAACATTGTATCGGCTCCCTTGGACACACATTAAAGTACGATTCCAAAATATTTGAGCATGTTTCCAAAATTGATAATTGAAAATTATTCAATTAACATTGACCAAACCCCGAAATAAAGCAAAATAATTCCATTGAAGCAAAAAATGCAAGCATTTTTGCAGTCACAAGAAGCAAAAGTATGCTGTATGTTTACGAAATCAGAAAATTAAAAAAAAAAAAACAATATGATTTAGGCTTCCTTTATACTTTCAAGGGCCTCCCTTAGCTCATTCGATAAAGCCGCAGCTGTAAAGAAAAACCATGCTGGAGGCAGCTGGGTTCGATTCCCGGTCCGGTCGAGGAATTTTTCGGGATGGAAAATTTCTCGACTTCCCTGGGCATAAGGTATGATTGTACTTGCCACACGATAATATACGAATGCAAAAATGGTACAGGCTTTTTTTTTCTCTCTACGGGAAAAAACCCACCACAACCAGTAATTTTTCTACAGATTGTGATCCAAACAAAATTATGTAATGCTTAAATCATTGATTGCCAAACTCATAACTTTTTAATGAAAATTCAAAGCAAGTCGTTGTAAAATAAACATCAAAAAACAACAATAGCATTATATTCATGTTTCATTTTTCCCACGTAAACAAGTGAGTATTTTTTATTTTTTTGCCGTGGGACCCACAACATACATATCATATATGTATACTCTTGACAATATTTGAATAGTGGCACGAAGCTAGATCCAGCCAGAAGATCGTAAGACCCTCGTGTTGCTTCAACATAGGAGGCAGACGCTTCTGTAGACACTCCTTGAGGTTGATCTCCCCGTTAACAGTCCCGGCAGTCACGAACGGCGCACTTCGTTTGCCACATGAGCAGATCGCTTGCCAAATCATGTATTTCTTGGCCAAATTTGAAAGTTTCTGCTTCCTTACTTCCTCCGGAACATCATGCTGGGCGGTGAAGAACAGTAGCCCCGGAAGCTGCCGGAGGTCCGCCTTGACGTAAGTCTCATCATCCATGATGAGAAAATGAGGCTTCGTTAGCATATGGTTGTACAGTTTCCGGGCCCGTGACTTTCCCACCGTATTTTGCCGTTCTTCACGATTTGGAGCCTTCTGCACTTTGTACGTATGCAGTTCCTCCCAGGCTCTCTAAATGAAACTCTTGGACAGATTCAACTTTTTGGCCACATCCCTGACCGAAGCATTGGGATTCCGCTTAAACGCTTTCACGACGCGCTTGTGATCCTGATTACTAATAGAACATCCATTCTGATCGCATTTCTCCTTCCGTTCGATGCTCTGAGTTTCGTAGTAACGTTTAATCACACAATTCACCGTTGACTGCATGATTCCGAGTTGTTTTCCGATGTCCCGATGAGGGAGTTGAGGATTTTCCAGGTGCTTGCGCAAAATTAATTCGGGATTTTTAATTAATTGCTTTTCGGGTGACGCCATTTTTTTAAACTTTCGAAAAACTGACAGAGATAAAAATATAGTGTAAACAATACACTCTGAACTACTTCTACCCAAATTTTCAAGAAAAAATACCCAATGGTTAATTTTCAACAGAGTTTTTTTTTTTCCCGTGATGCAATTTGATGTGGGACACCCTTTAAGATGTCCACCGATTCCTAGTCTTGACTACTTCAAACTAGGGGAACACATCTTAGTCCATGTTACTTGTTATGCCTTATGTGTCATTGAATAATTTTGTTGCTAAGGAATCATATTTTGACTGACAAAGGGGCGCGCAGGGTATAAATAGCGGAACCCTTCAATCATAATCGATTCCTTGCAATGAAGGCAAGAATTCCAACTGCATCAAAACCGAATACTGTCTCAATAGTGATGGAGTAATATGACATGCACTAAACTAAGGACACGGAGTAAACAACAATCTAGAATAAACAATACGGATACAACGTAACATGAAAAAATCGCAGGCTTTTTTCGTTGTCCGTTTTATAAACTGAACAGTCGTAAAAACAATAAATTAAATAATAATTCCTGAAATAAAAATAAATAAATTGTAAATATTGAGGACGGTGTCTTCTTGACGCTAAAACAAGGATTTTAAACCACCTCCGACCTTTGAAAGCGTGATATAATTCATGGTTGCCCCTTGGAGAGCATATTCCATCAGTCGCGCAAAACACACACCATCGAAATGGATGATTTTCATCAATAATTTCCTTGGATATTTTTAACCTTTCACCTTGAAATATTTTTAACCATTAACCTTGAATACAATTAAAACATCAATTAGAGTGCAGTTTTTCTTTGATTTTACGCGACTCTTCTTGAATTAAATGACGTAGTATATTTTTGTTCAATGTTAGAACCCCACCTTCCCCCTCGTAGCGTATTTTCCAATACATGGTCTGTCACAAATTATGCAGAACCCCCTCTTAAAATTCTACGTCATTCAGGTATGGCCCATTGTCAATCCAGTCAACGAAAAATTTGTGAATCACCCTTGCTACCATGGAAAGGAGAGTGTTAACTAGTCACTCCGTAACGGAGAAGAATTAAGCACGTAATAAACGGTTTCACAGATATAATTTGACTTGACTCAACAATGCACAGTGCGCTAGATATGAAATCAAGCTTGCAAATGCTAATTACTGTTAAAATGCTTCTTTTTTACATTTCAAGCTTACTGCTTATTGCATATTAGCTTATTGCGTTTCTCACAACTTCTAGAGTGTTCTAGATACACTTCCACAGCTATTAATTCAGAGCTTTCGATGCCTGCCCTATTTTTGCATTAGTATAATTGAGTGGCAAGTACAATGATACTCTTATACCTACGGAAGTCGAGAAATTTTCTAACCCGAAAAATTCCTAGATCGGACCGGGAATCGAATCCAGCCGAGCATGATCTTGCTTTGTAGCTACGCATGAAACATAGAACCTGTCATTTTTGCTTTCAGAGGGTCACAATTTGCTCATTTAGCTGTAATGAGCAATCGCGATCGCGTTATAACTAATCGCTAATGCGCTAATTTGTCTCCTCTTCCTGCATCGGGATGACGTTGTAGCAATTTGATACCTATAGCGGATTGTGGTACATTACCCGAGCAAAGTTAGAGATCAAATTGAAATCAGAATTTGCTGTTATGATGTAACTTACTTTGAATACTCCATTTGATCTCATTTTGGTTGACTTAACGGTTAACACATCAAAAATGAGAGCAAAATTTTACACTGTTGAATCAAACGGAAAACTAATCCTGCTTTCAATGAAATCAATTTGATTACTGATTTTGCATTCATAATGTTTGACTGAATACGGGCCTGGTGCAAATGGTTAGCATCCAAGCTTCTCACGCTGAAAGACTTGAGCTCAAATGTCACTTCGGGTTGGTTGCGAATGACCTAAAATGTGTTAAACAAAACAATTAAACAATAATCGTTAGTTCAACGACAGATAAGCTTAACTTAAATCTTAAACAAGACGTTAACAGCAGAACTTCAAGTTAAGTTGCTTTCATTTAAAATGTCTTGACTGCATAATGAAAGCACAATATGATATCAGACTAATGTCGTGACAATTGAAATCAAAATGAGTATTCATTATGATAGGAACTGCAATCTTTAATATCGATTTGCTTTCATTTTGTTAACCGACTTTGCTCGGGTAGGCACCCCCGGGGTAGAACGCACTTTTTCATTTTATTTTGAGCTTTTCATGACATCAAAATAGTTACGAAAAAACCATGAAAAACACAAGTGAAAGTCAGTTGGTGCGTTTTGCCCAGGGGGTGCGTTATGTACTATTGTCCCCTACAAGTCCTACTTTGAGAATGAAATCAGTTCAGTAAATTCATGTTACAGCAGTTCTGTATTATATCTTTTGAACTAAGCACGTTAGAGACTTGATTCCTTGGACAATGTTATCTCTGAGATAGCATTGAACAAAGTTGCTTGAGGTTGTTCATAAACCACGTGGAGGGATTGTCCATACAAATTTCAAAAAAATATATAGATAATCTAAGCTGGGGGAGGGGATCTAAAACCTCTGAAAATCTGTCTACGTAGTTATGAATAGCCTCTAGACGAGTGATTTTGTAAAACCACAGCAAACCCCAGCAAAGTCTGAGATCAAATTAAAATTTAAATTTGATGTTGTGATTTCGCTGATAATGATTACACAGGTTGCTGTCGTTTTGGTCGTTTTAATGGTTAAAATATCAAAATTGAAAGTAAAAAAAATCTCCGTGTGACATCACATTGAAAACTATTTCTGGTAGCAGTGAGAGCAAACTGAAAACTCAATTTGATATCAATTTTTCCTGTTGATAACAAAACAAGTATTCAATTTGATGTTATGCTAAGGCAATGAAAACAAACCCGCAACAACATATTTTTGAAGAGCAAATCTACAGCAAAATGAAAACAAAACTTGGTATGAAATTTGTCAATTGCGTAAACTAAAATCAAATTATGATTTCAGTTTGATGTTGATATCAACACTTTATTTCAATTTTCTGTCATTTTAATGCTGGACTTTGCTCGGGAAACATGTAGTTTAAATCGCAAAATAGCTACACCGTTTGTGTAATGGTGAGCGTGATAACTTTTCACCCCAAAAAGCCTGGGTTCAATCCCAGTCGGCGCCGCCGGGATTTTCTGAGGTATAAAATCTCTGATCACGCAAGAGAAGTAAAGCCGTTGGTCCCCGGTCTATGATTTGATGGGTCGATAGGTATAGGGTCCAGGTGTAGAAGCTGCCTCCCTGGTATTGATTGCATTGGTACTCAGTACGGAAAACAAGATCGATTCCTAATGTCGGTCTAAGTCTCTCTAATATTGGGCCCATAAATAAATTTCGAAGGAAACATTTTTTGATAATTTTGGGATTTTCTTTTTACTATCGGTTAGGTTTGGGTCAAAGTTTTTCAGAATTTTATGGAATTTTGCC